TGTGTGTGTGTGTGTGTGTGTGTGTGTGTGTGTGTGTGTGTGTGAGAGAGAGAGAGAGAGAGAGAGAGAGAGAGAGAGAGAGAGAGAGAGAGAATGTGAATGAGTATATGAGTGTGAGTGTGTGTGAGTGAGTGGATGAGAGAGTGTGAGTGTGTGCGTGCACGTGTGCATTGTATGTGTTACCAGGAAGGCTAAACAGTCTCTCTGACCAAGAGGGGCTACACGTGGAGAAATGGACTTCTATTACTTCAGGAGAGGCTGCAGTCTGACACAAGGAACGTCCCATTAGAGTATAAGCTTTGCTCAGGGTGTCTCGGGTTCCCCAGGTGAGGAGAGGGGGCCAGTCAGGCTTCTGGCAGGAGAGGGAAGGGGAGCTGAGAACAAAGGAGGGCACTCACTCCAGGAGCTTGCCGGCTGTCTTCGAGTTGTAGATGTCACAGCGGTGCAGAGGACCCACGTGGCCTGAGGCTTTGCACAGCGCTTCTTGGAACTGGAACTGGAGCACTAGGCTTAGGAAGTACCTGGGTAGAGGAACGTGAAGGTGGGCTTAGGAGTGGGCGTCGGGGTTGGGAAGCCCAGAGCCGCTTGTAGCCAGGCAGCTCTGACATGCAGTGGCCACGAGGGCCCAGTCAGCAGGCACAGCCCAGGCAGAGGTTTCTTCTGCCAGGTCCCCCTCAGCCTGGCCCTAGAATACAGCGAGGGCTCTCCTCTTCAGCCTAGAAACCAACCATCGCCTCCCTCTTTCCTGCCCCCCTCGTGGGGACAGCAGAGATGCTTGAGAATATTCCCATCAGCTCTGCCCTCCACACAGGATCTGAAAAGCCCAAAGGGCAGGGCCCTCCGAATGCTGTGTGACCTGATGGTAAAAGGTGGGCAGGGATGCAGGGAGACATCTGGATCTAGGGCCTTCCTGAAAGTCCTCGGCCTGGTTCCCATGTCCCCAACCCCTAACTCCCCAAACTGGTCCTGCTGGCAGGGCCCAGACCTTTACCGTGTGTAGGACACACTGGCAGAGATGTGGAACTTGGCACCTGGATCAAAGTCATCTTCTGTCCGAGGGATGGGAGGGCACAGGCCCTGGTACTTCAACCTGGCAGGGAGAACAGGGGACTTGATAGTGCCACCCGGCTGGGTTCTCAGAGCCTTTTTATTTTCAAGCACTTGCACAGCTATCAAAACTGGACCCAGTGTGTGGAGGACGCTTAGTGCATTTTTTATTGATTAAATCAATGATTTGAAAACACATGAGACTGGGAACTGGAGTAAAATTGTAACAGTAGTTAACATTGAGCACTTCCTCTGTGCTAGCAACTCTCAACACTATCCTGGTTCTGGGGCCACAGGAGGGAACTGAGCCAGGCAAGGTCCCTACTTGCATTGTAACGATGGGGGCTGGTTTAGACCAGCTGACAAGGACATTTCATCTAGTAGGAAGCGCCAAGAAGAAGACATAGTGTCATCCCTGTGGCGGGGTGCTGCTATTATTCCCATTCTACAGATGAGGAAACCAAGGCTTAGAGAGCAGGGAACTGGTGGCAGCACACAGAGCAGATTCCAAGAACTTTCAGATTCGGGTCTGGTTTTATCCCTCTGAGCTGTGTGACTGTGGGAAAGTTGCTAATGGTCACTGAGCCTTGTTGTAAAATGGAGTCTGTAGAATGTGAATAAAATGACCCATCTCTGGGAGGAGACAAAGTCTATGAAAAGGCTCATTCCCGTTGACAAGGCCCAGAGAGTCGCCGCCCCTCTCCCTCAGCCCCTGGTCTCCATCATCTAGGTGGTGGTGCCTGTGGTCCACAGAAGAAGGAAAGGGGCCCCTGCAGGCACCTCAGATGGCTGGTAGGGGGTGCCCTTGGAGGGGCACAAGGTCAAGGCTCTGCCAATCCTACTGGTGAAACCTGGTCCTGAACTTGGGGTGGGGTTGGGAGGGTGAAAGGACTAAAGGAGGACTGCCACCCCTGGGCTGCTGTGTGACTGTGGGCTGGGCACATAGTCTTTTTCTGTGAATGACTAGGGCTTGTTGTAAAGGTTCAAATAAACATAAGGCTCGTGCAGACCTAGCTGGCCCTTCATGGTTGCCCCAAACCATGCTGTGGCTAGCAGATTTGAGCTGGTCAGCCTGAGGCCTGGTGGAGATGGAGAAGCCCAGGCCACTAGCATTCATTATCCAACCAAGCAGTCAGGGGTCAGTGATGGGATGCCATGCCAGTGCCCCTCACTCAAGAGTGGTGCTGCCTGACTGCTGGTGACTCCTTCAGCAGCTAGTTCTGCCCTTGGACATACTAGGGATGCTAAGCCAGAGGCAGGTGTGGGTATGTGTTGGGGCAGCAGAAAAGGGGGCGGTAGGCTTGTCTCTCCCCCATGAGGACTCTTTCCACAGGAGGAAAAGCGCTCAGGTCCCCTTACTGGCCCCAGTAGTGGGAACATAATAGGAGGGGAGGAGCAGGGAGGCCTGCCTGGTGGTCAGTGTTCTGTTCTTGGAGGAGCCCAGGTGCAACCAGTGTGTGAGCTTCACAACCACCCAGGGAGCAGGTGGGGCCTCCACCAGGATCCCTGGAGAGGTTCAGAGGCCTGCTCAGTGCTGCTGCCAGATTTAGCAGGCGGCCTCATGACCACCCACACGGACCCTATCTATCCACTTCAGCAGGGATGCTTTCATCTGGTGATCGCAAAGAGCCAATACTGTCCCCCGGGCTTTCCGGCAGCCCCCAGGTCATCAGCACTGCAGGCCCAGCTCTGCCCTCAGAGAAGAGGTGGCTGCACCCTCGAGGCTGACCAAAAAGCCCTGCCCACATCAGGGCTGGAGGGGGCAGAGAGCACAAGGCAGCTGTCCTCCTCACCTGAGGTTCCACCACTCCAGGTTGTAGTTATCCTTCTGGATGGTGCCGTCAAAGACCTTCCAGCGATACAAGTCAATCAGATAGGCGAAGGGGATGAATGCGATCTTGTCCAGGGCAATACCCATCAGGAAATTGACCTCCTCCTCTGGGGAAGGTGAGGCAGTCAGGTGGCGTGGCTCCTGGCTCTCCCTCCCTTTGGGCCGGACAGCCCTAGCTGCAGCCCCAGACTCCGGCTTCCCTCCCATGGTCCTTTTGGTCCCCATCACCTGAGTCCTGATGCTGACGGCTGAGCAGGCCTCTGTTGAGCAGGTGCTTGTGGGAAAAGGCCGAGAGGGTGATCACTGACCCCACAGCCTCTTCAAAGGCTGGGTTGGGGCCTGCACGGAAGATCACGGGGAGGTTCTTATACTGCATGAAGTACTGGATATGGCCCATCTGGTGGAAGATGGAGAGCAGGTCTTCTGTGGTCACCTCGGTGCACTTCTTTATCCTAGGGTTAAAGGGCAGGGGTCAAGGAGCATGGGGATGCCCTGGGAGAAGGACAGATTTTTCCATTCACGCTCTGTTAAGGGTTGGGGTGGTTGGGCTGGTGACCAGCGGATCCTTGGTTGCCGTCCTTTCTCCTTCCAGGCCCCACATCCAACCAGCGGCCATGAGCTTTGCTCTCACACTCACCTCTCCCACGTTGCTGGCTTACATGCCCCCTCCCCTGCCCCAGCTCCACCCCACCCACCCCTTTTGCACACATCCTAAAAGAGGCAGACAGGTGGAGAGTGGAAGGAGCAAAGGAAGAACTAGAGAGGGACAGGAAGGTGGTGCTGGCCGCTGGGTGAGCACCTGAAGTCCTTGCTGTTGTAGAAGTCCCAGGCGGAGGCGTGGCACTCCACTTCCCGGCCATCGGTTGGTCTTTCCATCATCGAATTTTCCCAGAAATCAGGAGGGGTGGAAAGCAGCCCCAGGGAGGTGATGAATTTTTCAGCCTCTACGAACATTTTCTCGGGGTTCCAGTGCTGTGGGGAAGGAAGGGTGCATGGGGCCCTGCCTCGGGGTGTGGAGCAGGCAGGGGCAGACAGAGGCCGAGCACTTACCTGGCTTCGCATGATCTTTGTGATGTCCTCAGGGGGCTTCTTTGGGAAGGGTAGGACCAGGTCTAAGATTTTGACCCAGGACTGAGCCCACATGTTCCCTGGAAGGGGAACGGAGGAGCTCAGAGGCAGCAGGAGGCCATCCCTGCCCTAACTGAGTGCCTGTTTGGAGGCCTCCTCTTCCAGCCACAACCCCACTGCCAGCTGGGGCTTTACCCAGGAGGTGGGCAGGGATGGGCCCCTTCACATCGATGACCTCGGGTCCATAGTAGCGATACAGGGCCCGGCGCACGTAGGCGTGCAGGTTCAGGTAGAGCGGCTGCAGCTCCTGGAAGAGCTGCTCCAGGTCCTTCTCCAGCTTGTCAGATTCATATTTGGCCCGCCACAGGGCCCCCATGTCTCTGTAACCTAGGACAGGAGCGGGGCTCAGAGGTGCTCACCACCCTTAGCCCTGGCCTGGCAGACAGGAGACCCAGGCACCTTCTAAGGAAGCCACTTGACCTCCCTGATCCCTGGGGTCTTCACCTGCCAAATGGGAAAAATACCTCCAAGGCCACTCTCTGTATTGGATGAGATCAGGGCAGAGAAGCACATAGCACAGTGCATACTCCGCGCTCCTCACAGAGTTGCCTAGGACAGGGATGCGGCCCTGGTCCTCACCCACCCACCTTGAGCCCCACCCAGTCAAGTCCTCTGGCCACACTGGCTTCGTTCAGATCCTCCCAAACGTCAGCTTTCCCCATTGTGGAGCCTGTAATGCTCTCACTTCGTGCTTGCCTGGTTCGTTCTCATCTTTCAGACCTTAGATAAATGTCAGAGGCCTTCCCTGAGCACTTATCTGAAGCAGGTCTCTCCTTATTCTCTCTCTCAGCAGACCCTTCCTTCTCAGCATTCAATCTGAGTGGTAACCAGAGGTGTGTGTTTGCATGAATATTGTCTGTCTCCCAGAGGGCTATAAGCCCTCAGAGGGCAGGCACCCTCTCTGTCTTTGTACCTACGCATCTTCGAACCTCCCCAGCACCCGCACACAGTAGATGCTCAATTAATGTTTGTGGAACAACTCAATGAATGAACTACCTTTGCTCTGCCCAGTTGCAGGGCTCAGGGTTCCCATCTTTAGGTCCTACTACTGCCTTCCCCTCTGAAGACCCTGCTGTGTCCTGCCAAGGCATTGATCTGAGACCCGTGCAGTGTGTGGTCTGCTCAGGCCAAGCCAGCCAGGGGTGGGGCCTCACCATTGAGCCTCGCAGCCTTGTTGCTGAGCTGCACATACTGCTCGAAGGTGCCACGGAGCAGGCGACCCACAGCGTCCCGCCAGCCCTGCCAGGCCCACAGCAGCTCCTTCTGGTCCCGGGAGGTGGCCATGATATCTTTGAGGTCTACGCCCGGAAAAGGAGCCAAGGTGGGACACCCACTCCTGCTTGTCTCTGCCCTCACCCTCCCTGGGCAGATTCCAACCCCCCAACAAGGGATCACAGTTGGGGCAAGGAGGAGAATGGGCGTTGGGGGGCTCCTGGAAAGTGTTTGAGACTCTGCAGTTGGGCAGGGGCAGGGCTGGGGCACTCACCAGGCTCCAGGGGCATGCAGGGCCCCTCATTCAGGCACACCTGGCCCATGTTGTATGTTGTCTTCATGTAGGCCAGAAGCTTGTTGTACTGGGGAGGGCGGGTGTCACCCAGGGCAAGCCCGTGCCTGCGGGTCCACCCCCAGTGCTAGCCCTACCAGCTGGGAGAGGTGGGGCTGGCGGAGGCATCTCCCCACCAGCTCCTGCTTTCCTCCTCCCCAAGAGGAAGCTCTGGCCCTGCCCCACCAACCTTCCTCCTGCCCCAGACACTCTGGTTCCCCACCCAGCCTGCCCTCCCACCCACCCCTAGGGTGGGGAGCATGTGCCTGGAGACCTGGGGGCTCTGTCCCGTCCATCACCTCCCGAAGCTCGTCCTCGGGCAGGGCTGCCTTCTCTATGTTCTGCAGCTTACTCAGCATGCACTTCACGGCCGGGTCCTGGAACCTGGCATTCTTAAACAGGCGGGCCCGGGTGCCAAAGTACAGCATGTGCTTGGATTTCTCCTCATCCTTGTGCAGCTGGAAGGAGGGTCACCATATTTGTTGTGGGAGGTTGGGGGAGGGAGTAAGGGTCCCACATTGAACTCCAGGGCCACAGCCCCCCAGCCTCCCCCCAAAGCCCACTTTAAGGCTTCAGAATCACTGAAGATTTGCTAAGAGGGAAAAGGAAGAGAGCCACCCTAAAGGCCAGTAGGTGATATTTACAAGGGGAAAGCAGCAAGAGATTCTTGCCCAGAGAGCCCTGAGTGCCACCAAGAGGCATGGAGCTTACAGCCTGCTTCGACATGTACTTTGGGGTTTCTCTTTTTCCTTTAGCTCTGGACAGGGGACAGAAGGTGTGGATTTCCCCCCCCGCCCACCCCCCACAAGACCATGAGACGAGCAAGGGGGAAAGGGGCTGGAGTGGAAGTGGTACCATACGCACCATTTCCTCCTGATTTTTCTTGGTGATGTTGGTGACATAGTTCCAGGTGGCCTCCATGAACTCGTTCCACACGATCTGGGCTGTGTTCTCATAAAACTGCAGGAACGTCTTTGCCATGGTCTCATTGTAGAGGTTGTCTACAGAGAAGGAGGTGGGCATCATGCTGTCCTGGGAGTGGCCTGCCCCTGACTGGTCCCCTCGTTTGATCCCTTGCTGCTCTGAGTCCCAGCCTCACCTAAGCTCTGATCACCCTCGGTCCTGAGCCATGGCAAGAGCTGCCCATAACAGAAGAGCATAAGTAGGGGAGGTCCAGGGCAAGTCCATCTTGTGCCCATGACCAAGAGAACATCAGAGCTGGGTGACGCTATAAGCCAATCACGATCTGGCTCCATATTGTGACATCAGGGGCTAAAGTGTCAGCCGTGGAATGTCAGAACTGGAAAGCCCCCACCCACCTTCTGGTCCAACTGTCCCCATTTTATAAGTGAGGAGATGGAGGTCCAGAATGGTGAAGCCATATGACCTAGTTCACACAGCTAGTTAGTGGCAGAGCAGAGAGGAGAACCAAGGCTCTGGACTTTTAAGCTGGAGCTTGTTCTACTCTACTTGGTCACTTCTCTCTGGCATTGGAGGCACCCTTTGGGCCTTGATCAGGAATTGATGAGATCTCCCCCCCCCGCCCCCCCCCACACACAGAGGCTGTAATCACCTCTGAGTTGGTGGATGGGATGATGCAAATGATGGATGGACGGAAGGAAGTGATATCTCTGAATCTCTGAACTCTGGAAGCATAAGTGTCTCTCCATGATCTGATTTGACCTCCTGTGTTCACATTTTTGGCCCTTTTCTCTTCTGTGGGATGTGTGATCATCCCCAGGGCTGTACAGGACCCTTCCTCCCTTCCCCTTGTCCTTATACCTGTTTCCCAAAGAGAACCTGATATTTTGAGTTTGCAGTCAGTAGGAGGAACAGAGAAAGGTAGAGGGCTGTGAGGGGTGTGGAGAGGTGTGGCTGGTACCTTCCATTCAAGGTGCATGTCCATGAGTGCTTGAGCCTGGTTTGAGCACCACTCGCAGGACCCCAGCTCTCTACTAGCCTTTGGTGACTCCCTAGTAGCCTGACACATATATTCTGGGGAGATCAGCCCTATCCATCTTTGGGATTCCTTCCTCAAACTCATGTTCCTCCACACCCAGACACCCTCCATCCTGTCACCTCTTCACTCACCCTCCTCAGCCCAGTGCACCCACATCATCACAGAGAAACTGAGCAAACAACCCTCCAAATAAAAATATTTAAAACACAAGGAAAGAAAAAAATCAGTGATGTTTCTGTATAACTGGCTGACGGAGCTCTCAGGGAAGCCCCTCCTCCTGCTTCAAGCACAGACATGCTTGATAAAACAGTATTTTTGTTTAACTATAGTCACCATGATGTACATTATATCCCTGAACTTATTTATAACGAGAAGTTTATGTCTTTTGACTACCTTCATCCATGTCACCTACCCTCTTGCCTTAATCTGGCAACTACCAATTTGTTCTCTGTACTTATAAGTTTGTTTTTTGTTTTGTTTTTTTAGATTCCACATGTCAATGAAATCATACAGTATTGGTCTTTCTCTGTCTGACATATTTCACTTACCATAATGACCTCAAGGTCCATCCATGTTGCGAATGGCAAGATTTCTTTCTTTTTAGGGCTGACTAGTATTCCACACACATGTATATATGTATACATACATATTATATATATAATATATATATTATATATATACACAGTAATACCTTGGTTTGCGAGCTTAATTAGTTTCAGAAACAAACTACTCTTATTGTAAGACATGGCTCATTTAGCATGTTAAAATGTATTAGAAATGTTTGCTCGTCTTGCGGAACACTCACAAACCAAGTTACTCGCAATCCAAGGTTTTACTGTGTATATATATATATATATATATATATATATATATATATATATATTTATTTATTCACATTTGTATTATCCATTCATCCATCAAGGGTAGGGTTTGGGAGAGGCTGGGGAGCTCGGAAAAACTGTCCAGCATCCATACGCGTATCTTTGGGCCATGTAGGTAAGAAACAGCAGGTCACCCAGAAGCCAATGCCTGGTGGGCACAGCACAGAGAAGGGCTCAGACTTAGGCCACCAGTAAAAAATGCTGGAATGCCCCCTATTTCTGCTGTCAACACTTCCTCTTCCTCTGCCACCTTCCAGATAGAACGGGCCTCTCCCACCTCTCCCATAGAGGCAGAAACAGGAATCTGAACAATTTTTTTTTTTTTAAGCTAGCCATCCTGCCACCTGTTGGCAGCTCAGCGGCTGCTCAGCTCAGGCCGGGAATTGAAACACTGTTGCTCAGAGCTCAAACTCTTGAGCGAGCTCTTAACCAACTGAGCCACTCAGCCGGCCCAGGAATCTGAATAATTTTAATATTTCAAAAGGCCTAGTAGATAAGGCTGGTCAGGCTGACCACAATATTGTGATTTTCTGCCCTCATTCTGTAGCTCAGACCTCTGGGTGTTGAATGCTGATGCCCTCACACGGCCCACAAGTTCTCACAGGCTGCCTGAACCTCTGCAGTTCAGAGAGATAGGAAAGGGGGTGAAGTGACAATGATCTTTGTCTGGCTGACAAAGAGCTTTCAAAACATCAGGCTGGGGGTGGGGGTGGGGTGGGGGGTGGTAATTAAACATGTCTATTGTGGGAGAGGCTTGGAACTATTTAGAGGATATGTTTATAAATTCCATTGTCCTAAGTAATCATAAACTTCCATCCTCTTGCATATCCCAAATACCTCAACTCCACATCCTGCCTCGTGGAACGGGCCTGTCCAACCAAGTCTACGTGCACTACACACACACACACAGACACAGACACAGACACACACACACACACACACACACACACAGACACAAACAGACACACTTGGCAGCTGGAGATGGGGGTGGCAAAAAGTAGATGCAAGGATGTTGGCGGACAGATATTAGGGACTGGGCCTGACTAGAGTCAGACATCAGCAGAGCTGGGAAGAGACCCGGGGCCGACGGTCCTGACAGAGGGGGCCAGGCTGGCAGTAGAAGCCTCTAACCCTGGGAAACTGACCAACTTCCATTTGGTTAGCATCTAGGTTTGGCATTTAAGAGTGAAAAATACATCTAGTCACGTTAACTGGAAAAAGGACACATGACTGTAAGTACAGTGTGATCCCATTTAAAATAGGTGCTGAGAAGAAAGGGCCGGGAAAATATACACCAACATGTCAACAGTGCTTATCTCTTGGTATTGATATAAAGGGCTTTTATTTTCTTTATAATTCTCTGTATTTTACAAATTCTACAATAAACATGTAGATAAAAGTTATAAAAATGTCCCTCAACACGATACTCTCTCAAACTCATATTGGCCTTCCGAGGGGGAGGCTCAGGGTACGGGCATGTCCTGCGGGGAGGGCAGGAACAGCCTCTGGCAGAAAATTCCCGCATGGGTGCCAGCTACGGCCATGCTCCAGCATTTAGGGCCCCTCTCCAGCTGGGTCGAAGGGACCTGGTCCTGGGCCCCACGGGCAATACTCAAGTGGCTCTGTCCACTTACACAAGTGGACACGGAGCTGTGTAGGCAGGAGCTTGAGGTGACCACAGGGCTAGTTCTGTACCCTCAATGTGCCAGACACATACAAGGCACTCTCCCTCAGGGGCTCCTTCCATCTGGGGGGCCTGGCCATTTGTGGAAATAGTCAGGGTAGGACTCCCAAAGCTCATGGAAATGTGAGGCCAGAAGCTCAGAATGCTTGCTTCCCAGAGTCCTCCTGGGTTGGTGCCTGGGCTAGGCAGGGGCTGACTGCCAAGGCAGGACACTGGCCTGTTGCCTGGGATGGAGGGAAGACAGGCGTGGGCGCTGCTGGGTGGTGCCAGGGCCAGAACTCTAGGGCATTTTCCCAGGCTCTTCTTGGAGGGGGATGAAGACACCCATTGAAGTGACCCGCTTGACTGCCAGGAGGCGGGAGAGCATCCCTGACCCTGTCCCTGGCTTTCCCGCGAGGGACACAGACTCAGATGGGAGGGCAGGACCTTTAATCGTATTCACAGAGAGACTGAGGGTGGGGGCTCCTTGTTAGGCGGCCGGGTGCCTGGGGGCTGGGGGACAGGGGTCACAGTGGTTCTGGGGCTGGAGGATGGATTCTTAGCACAGGACTGGAGGCGAAGGGAGAGGAAGGGGGAGGGCAGGAAGAGGAGGGCGGGCTGGGGGGAGCTGTGAGAGGAGCGGAGGGTCAGGGTCCTTCGCCCGCCCCATGTCCCCATCCGGGTCTCTTGGTGGTGGGTGCTCCCCAGCTGGCCTGCAAGGCCTGGTCATCTCAGGAGTGTCTCAGTTCCACCTCGGAGCCGAACTGGGGCCCATGGTGGGGCCGGTGGCGGTTGCGGTGGCGAAGGCTGAAGAGCCGCTGGGCGAGGCCCAAGGTGGCCACCAGCAGGACGACGCCCAGGAAAAGCAGCACCCACTGGCCCACGCGGGCCTGCTGCTCCTCCAGGTTCAGGCCCAGGAAGTTGACGTGGCCGTTGCCCGGGAATGAGCCTTCCGAGCGAGCTGAGCATGAGAAGCAAGGAGAGCAGGGTGGTGGGCAGGGCGATGGGCAGGACGGCGGGCAGGGCTGGGGGCATTTTGGCTGGCTTCCCTAGTCTCGCCCTCAGGTCAGACTTGGACCTGCCTGAGCTGGGGAGGGGGCCTGGCCCTGAGTGAGGTCTGGGGGCCGGCCCGGGGCTGAGGCGGGGGGCGGGGTGGTACCGGAGTCTGGTGTCCAGTTGTACTGAGGCCAGCCCAGCTTCTCCCCGTGCCGCTCGTTCTCAATGAGGAGCCAGTCCAGCAGCGGCTTGAAGTACTTCATCATGGCTGAGGCGGACATGTTGGGCTGGCCCGTGATCAGCTTCATGGCTTCTGGCCATGGCTTACTGAAGCCCAGCTTCATGGCATCTCTGGGGGGAGCACCAGAGCAGGGAAACTGAGTCAGAAGGACAGGTGAGGAGGCTCACTGTCTTTCCGGCCTCAGCCAAACACCCCACCCTCCAAGCCCCGCCTCCCAGCCTCAATGTCCCTTTGGGATTGGGAGGGCCTGGGCAAGTCTGGGGTGGGGGTGTGGGTGGAGGAGGAATGGTTCAGGCCAAGGGGGTTCTAGTTCCCTCCTGGAGAGGGCACATTAAGATGCACTACAGGCTCTACCTGGGAGTTCCCAGCCCAAGCACCAAAAAGGCAGGTGTTCCCAGAAGAGTCCCACGAGACTCCTCAAGGCTGATCTGTCAGAGGATGGAAAACAGACAAAAGAAGGCAAAGAAAGACTCACGCCAGGAGCTTCCCTGCCTCCTTGGACTTGTAGATGTCACATTTGTGCAAGGAGCCCTCGTGGCCAGCCGCCTGACACAGCGCCTCGTGGAACTGGAACTGGATGATGAAACTGACGAAGTACCTGGAGGGGAGGGAGGTGTGGTGGGGTTGGCCTGTGACACTGAGCCCTGCTGCCCCCTGCCTCCCACTGAGCCAGGGTGTCAGGGTGAGCCCACCCCAGCTTTCAGAGTCATCAAGGCTCCCTTCCACACCTCCTACCCGAGAGGCCCCCTCCACATCTCAGGGGGGCATGTGCCGAGGAGCTTTGGGGGTCACTCATGAGGTAGGAGGGTTAGGGTAGAGCTCTTCAAAGGCTTGGCAGGCTGCTTTGGGAGCAGTGAGGTCTCCATCCCTGGGGTATATGCAAGTTGAGGCCAAGTGTTGCCCAAAAGGTCACATCTATGTGGCAGGGCAGCCTGGGCAGAAAAGCCAGCCCAAACCATCTCCTTGACCCAAAGGCAGCAGGGATTCCCTAGTAGAGATCTGCTAGTCAAGGCTGGAACAACCTCTAGGTCTGCAGAGGTTTTGAATGTCCCGAACAAGCAGCACAGGCCTCCCACTTTGAATGCTGGGCACAAGCCATGTGCCACTGACTTTCCTGGTGTTTCCTAAAAGCGCTTTGCCAAGGCTGCTGGTCAGAATTGGGAATGAGTCTCCTTTGCCCACCCCTGCCTAGAAAATTATCCATGCTAAGCTCAGAAGCTAACCGTCACACGGGCCTAGCCTCTGTGTGAAAGTGAGCGCCAGCGTGGAAGCCCGAAACCAGTCAAGAAGGCAGGTGGAGGCCCGCCCTGTGGGTCATCCTGGTGTGCTGCCAAGGTCAGGCCTGTTCCCAGGTGCCCTTCAGTCCCCTTGGTCCCTTGCCCACTGCTATTCTCTGGAGCATCTGAGTAGACTTTCTTTCCCTTTGTGGACCCCGAGGGACACAACTCATTCACCTTACACTTATTTATTAGGTCTTCATTATGTGCTGACATCAGGCCAGGTGCTGGGGTGAAAGGTGGGCATGGTGGACTCTCCCTCAGTGGGCTTCCAGGGACTACAGGAGGCAAGGGCTGGAGAGGGTCACAGCCCTCTTGAGGTAGCCCTCACTGCCTTCTGTGCCTTGCCTCATGAGCGGGCCGGGCTACCTGAAACCCCATTCTGTAGGCCTCCCCAGATGCCTACCTCCCAGGAAGACTCCAGATCCTGCAATTACCCACTTTAGCCTGTAGCGCATACAAGGAAAAGGGCCGCACTGGACACCTTCACACTGTGGCTGCATGACTCGTGTGTTTACCCAGGCCATGTCTGAGAGTAATTAAGTAATGGTGAGTTACGGCTGCCATTGCCCAAGCCTGCTATGTGTTAGACAGTATGCTAAGAAGTTAACTTTTGCAACAATCCTGTGACATGCAGAAGAAACTGGTGTTCACAGACACTGAGGAATTTGCTCAAGGAAACAATGAAGTGGAGACAATATTTGAACCCAGTTCAGTCTGACCCAAGCCCATGACCCCATGCCCCTATCAACACAACCTCCCAGTGTCACTGGGTCTCTAATCCTACTTTTAGTGTATAGAAGGTCTTCCAGGTACAACTCAAATTCTATCAGAGACAATACATTCAATACATAGTAAAGGAATCACAATCTTGTTAGAAAAGAAAAAAACAGAACAAGAGTGCTCAAGTCATGATCTAGCCAAGGTTAATAATGTTAACTCCTGAACCAAGGTCTCATAACCATTAGCCAATTATAGTAGAGTTTGTGTTTTCAATTGTCTGGAAGGTAGAGGCTCTCATCTTATCAAAAGAGTGAAACAACAGCCAGCCTTGGTCACAGGTGGGTGGCCCAGGCACAGTGTGCAGTGCAGCCAGGCCCCCAGGTCGTCCCGACACGACATGGCAGTGACAGCAGTTTGAACACTGAGTGGCCTCCTCCCTTTCCCTTGTTACCTGATATAAGGCACACTTGAAGGAATGTGGAACTTGGCTCCGGGGTCAAAGTCGCCTTGAGACCTGGCCACTGGGGGGCAGAGGCCCTGGTACTTCAGCCTGTCAAGAGGGAAAGTATGTTCCAGGGAGTATTTGGGGAGACTCAAATCAGGGAGGGTTGGCATTTTCAACTTGAAGGATGGTCCCTGTACCTGGGGCTATACTGGGCACTCTGGATTCTGGCATGCTGTACCTCCGTGCACAATCACCCCTTATGTACCCCATCCCTTACACACACACAAAGACCCATGTGCACATGTACACACACACACAGACACACACACACAGACACACACACACACACACACACAGACACATTTACCACATGCGCACTCACACACACACAGACCCGTGGAGATCACCCTGAACCTCCACCCCCACAGGAATGTTCTAGAACCTGAGGCTCCACCACTCCTGGTTGTAGTTCTCCTTGGTGATGCTTCCATCAAACACCCTCCAGCGCCACTGGTCGATGAGATAGCTGAAGGGGATAAAGGCGATCTTGTCGAGCGCTATTTTCATCAGAAAGTTGATGTCTTGCTCTGCCAAGAAAAGGGAGCCCGCTGTCAGATCTACGCCTGCCTCCTGCCATGTCCTAGCAGCTCAGCCGTGATTGGTGTGCGAGGGGAGGAGTGGGCTCTATCTCTCTGGGCCCTGTGACCTGTCTCTTGGGGTGGTTTGTGGGCTCCATCCTCCCAGCTCACCCTGCTGGTGGCCCCCTTATTCCCCCATTGCTCTGTCCCAACCTCTGCCTGTGTGCCATTAAGTCCCCTCCCCCCTCCTCCCAAGCTTGCTGCTCCTTCCTGGTCCCACTGCCCACCAGGATCTCTCATTCCTTCTCACCGTAGCTGTCATCGTTGCTACTCAGCAGGTTGATGCTGTGTAGGTGCTTGGGGGTAGACACTGAGAGGGCCAGCACATCCCCAATGGCCTCGTGAAAGCCAGGGTTGGCACCCTCTCGGAAGGTCACAGGCAGGTCCTTGTACTGCATGAAATACTGTATGTGGCCCATTTCATGGTGGACCACCACCAGGTCCTCCATGTTCACGGTGGTGCACTGCTTGATCCTGGGAAAGGGAGAGAGTGTGGGAGGGGACAGTGAGGATCCCTGGGGCAAAGGGACCTGCTGTCCTTACTATATACAGAGCAGACCCCCATCACTGCTATAAGTAGGGAACACAGCATTATGGGAAAGAAAACCAAAAGGAGACATGGAGTGAGCCAGAGAAAGAGGGAATTTGAGGGTTTTAAGCCCCTAAAGTATAGTCATTCAGGCCATTCCTCTGCCTCCAACTTTGCTGAATAACTCTAGCCCACATGGCCATGTTGCTTTCTAACTGTGCAAAGTACTTGCTCTGGAGGCATTAGGACGCTTGGTTATGATCAGTGCAGGACTTTCTAGAATGTGGATCCTGTGGTTTCTCATGCACATGTTTGGCTCTCCCAAGACAGGTTTTCTGAAGGACACCACAGTGTCTGAGCTATTCAGCACCTCATGTGCCCAACACCAGCAAGCATATTCACTCCACGATTTTTTATGGCTAGGACTGAAATGACACGTGCAGAGCTATCCGAGCCAGAGGTTCCACCTCCCTCTCCATCTTTCCTCATTCCCTTTTGTGAGCTAGTGAAATTCTCCCTTGAATCTAAGCAGAGCCCTTCAGTTCAGTTGACCCCATTTTTCTGCCATTCTCTCAGGAGGGGGAAGAGCTGCCCAGCATCTGGTTACAATGAGGCTGTGGGTCTGTCCACCTTCTACTATGACTCCCATATAAGGGAGGACCCCCCCCAAAAAAAAATCTCACCTCCCCCCACCGCTTTATTCTGTCTATGCCCAGCCCTATAGCTGCAGACCTCATGCCTTTGAAGGAAAGGGCCAAAGCCAGGTGATCCAGTGAACCCTGTTTGGTTTCTTCCAGGTTCTCTGTGTCTACTTTTCTCATAAGAGACACTCCATCCACTGCCACAGATCATCCTTGCCACTCTCCCAAGAGGTGGGGTCTTCTTGCCCTTCTCCTGAATCTGGGTTGTCCTGGTGTCTTGCTTTAGCCAATAAACTCTGGCAGAAGTGACTCTGTGCTGGTTTTGGGCTTAGCCTTTAAGAGATCTGGCTGTTTCTGCTTTCACTCTGGGGGATGCCAGCTGCCAGAGAAGAAATCTGACTGCCTGATGGCCATACTTGTGAAAAAGCCCAAGCCAGCCTGGAGAGAGAGATGTCTCACCAACCCCCAGCTGTCCAGCCATCCCAGCTAGGGGACCCAACATGTGAGTGAAGAAGCCAGCTCGAACATTCCAGCCCCAGCATGTGCCACATGAAGAAAAACTGAGGTACCCCATCAGTAGCCGGAACCAAGGCTCTGGATGGCCCCATCGAGCCATGCCAGCCATCTCCAGCCATCAGAGCTAACCCATTGGAGATCTCCATTGTTGTAGAGCTGGGAAAAGCCATTTCCACTGTGTTGCCTGACCCATAAAATTACGAGAATGATCAATAGTTGTTTTACACCACCAAGTGTCGGGGTGGTTTGTTATGTAGCAATAGAAAACTGAAACACTATCCTCTGATGAAGACAATTTCTGAGCCTCTGTCAGTGGTAAGGGTGACTCTGTGCAAAGCCCCACATGGCCTCATGCACCTCCCTGTGTCAAGGCACATGCACCCAAAGAGAGGGCCAGCTGTATGCAGGGGCCACTCCGGAGTGAGGGAAACCTGGGCAGCTCACACAGTGCTCATGCCCAGGATTGGGACCTTGGATGTTGGCAACGGACTGGGCTGGCAGAGCTGGTCAGCACTTGTGCAGACCCTCATCTGATGGATGGGGTTCCCCGGGAGCCAGGCCCCATGCTCTTGACCCTTTATCCCAAGCTCTGCCCCCTGCACCCATTTCTACTCACTCTGGCTGAGAAGGGACAGCAGTGGAGCCTTTACTTGCCTCATCCCCTTGCCCACTGGTCTCAGGATAAGGTCCCCTGGCTGCAGCAGGGACACACCTGAAGTCCTTGCCATTGTAGAAGTCCCAGGCGGACGCATGGCACACCACCTCTCGCCCGTCGGTCGGCTTCTCCAGCATTGACTTGCTCCAGAACTCGGGGGGCACAGGCAGCAGGCCCAGGGAGGTAAAGAAATTATCCGCTTCCTTAAACATCCTTTTGGGTGTCCAGCCCTGCAAGCAGAGGGAGCTCTGCCAAAACTGGGGACTCTGAGGACAGACTGTGCACCACAGCCGGGGAGGGGACTGGGAGAGGGCTCAGCTGGAAGGAACTCTTGGGTCAGAGGGTCCTCTCCCACCCACAGGAGCCTCCCCTCCTCTGTGCCCTGGGGCTGCCCTGGGGGAGCAGGAGTGTGAGGAGGGGGCAGGTGCGGACCTGCTTTATCATGGCCTCCGTGGCATCCATCTTGGGGACTGAAGGGAAGGGCACCACCAAGTCATAGATATTGGACCAGGTTTGCGCCCACATGTTCCCTGGAGGCAGGCAGGGGAAGAGACGGTGGAGAGAGGAGACACAGATGTTATTCTTAGGCTTAGCCCCGTGGTGAAGGGAGGGGTAACCAGATCCCAGTCCTGCTGATCATAACGGTATCTCTCGAGCTCTTACTCTTTGCACACTGTGCTAAGCGTTTGACACACGTTGTCTTCAGTCTGCACATCCAGCCCCCAAGGTCACTACTTTCCTGGCTCATAGGTGAGACCCTTGCTGGCCATCAAGGAGTCAAGGTGGTCCTCACTTTCCCTGGGCAGTGAGGACCAGTGTGACTAGTAGCTATGTACAAATGCAGAAGCTTCAGGTCCCTGGAATATCTATGTACACATGGCCACCACTTACTAAAGAGTCAAGCAAGCCACTGGGGTCCCACGGCTCCTAAGCGAGGGGGCTGGGGTTTTAAGGCTGGCAGGCAGTCAGGCCACACTCCTGAGCAGCTACTACTTTGTCCGCTCCACATTGCGTGCGGTTGGTTTATGCGGTCACCTGACAAGAACCACCTGCCTTCAGGGGTGGTTGATACCTCTGCCTTTAGGATATGAGTTCTCCAGGACTGGAGAAAAGGAAGATATTCCGAATGAGAGAAAACGTCCAGAAATAGAATTGGAATAGGAAGTCTTTCATAGCCAAGGAGATTAAGCTTGAGCTGACATCAGGAGGAGTCTAAAGTGCAAAGCAATGAGAGAGTGGGAGTGAGAGTGAGAGAGAGAGAGAGACATGAGAGAGGGAGCAGGAGCGAGCCAGTGCCTGGCCACTCCCATCCCATGGGCTGAGGGCCGAGCTCTAAGTCCCAGCTCTGCCCCGGCCCCCCCAGGCCACCTGGGCACATTGCTTCCCCTCCCAGGGTCTGTATTTCTCAATCATCAAGCTGATGTCCACTCTGATGTTCTTTGCTCTCACGAGAGAGGGATCAAGGACAACTGGTCTCTTGGGCCATAAAGACCTTGGTTGAGTGAGAACTAGATCCAAAGCTGGACCAGCTTCTGGGATCTCTCGTGATTTGTAAATGGTCTGTGGCCCTGTCTGGTCTGCCTGCTTACAGTAAACCCCCCACCAGGAACGTGTTCCTGATGGCCCAATGGGGACAGGAACGTGGTAGCCTCTTCTCGGCCCCAGTCCTTATTGTCTCTTCCACTGCCTACTTCATGTGTTGAGGGCATTTGCATTTACAACCCCTGGGAAAAGAGGGTTCAAAAGTTGAAGAGGACCTATGCTCTCAGAATTCTCTTCTCCTACCTCCGTGAGCCTGCACGGTGTGTCTGTCCTTCTCCTCCCACCACTGCTTTTTCCATTTGTCAGAACCTCTCATCTTTCAGAGCTTCGCTCCCATGCCACTCCTGGGGAGGCCTCAGCTCCCACCCACAGTCCCTTCCTCACCCTCCGTATCATGCTGTCTTGAGCTCTGATGGGTGAGGCAATCTTCTTGTGGCAAGAGTAAGTACTCCCCCCACTGCCCCATCCATGGTGACTTGTACCACGTGGATCTGTAGCAAATGTGGCACCAAATACAAACAGGGGCTCTGGTCCCCACACCCAGCCCCCACCCACTCCAGGCTCAAGTCTTTTCACTCTCCCAACCTGAAGTGCCACCTGTGGGCCCTTCCCACCTGCCCTTTGCTCTCAGACTGCCATCTGTCTTCATCTTCTCCCAAAGGCCCAGCGCTTGCTCTCACCCAGCAGATGAGCCGGAATGGGGCCCTCCAGGTTGATGTGCTGGGGCCCATAGTGGCGGTGCAGGGCCCGGCGCACGTAGGCGTGCAGGTTCAGGTAGAGCGGCTGCAGCTCCTGGAAGAGCTGCTCCAGATCCCGCTCCAGGGTTGGCATCTCATATGTAGATCTCCACGATTGCCCTGCGTCTTCGTAGCCTGTAGAGGGGACACAGCCAGGCTCTCTGAATACCTGATCATTCCCTGAGCAGCCCCCTGCCTGCTGCCTCCTCCGGGGACCACCTTCTCACCAGGCATAGGGGCTCTGAGGGCCCCAGGGGGCCTGGGACCAGAGAGCCAGTGATGTTGGCAGGAGGGACTCACCATTGAGCCGGGCAGCCTTGTTGGAGAGTTCCACATATTTTGGGAAAAAAGGGAGGATGGATCTTCCCACCTGATCTCGCCAGCTCTTCCATGCCCATAACAGGTCTTCATATTTCCGGGATGTGGCCATCAGATTGGTCAGATCTGGTGGGGGCGGGGTTTGAATGGCTTGAACCCCTAGCCTTTGGCCCACCTCCCACCTCCGTCTAAGGTGAACTCAGTCATAGAAGTTCAGAACTGGAAGAAAACTGTACAGGCAGCAAGTCTAGTGAAATGGGAGAAAGGGTGATGTCCTTTCTACAGGGGCCTACAGGGTGCCAGGCCCAGGACTCAGCACTGTGTGGACACTATCTCAGGCAATTGCACGGTTTTAATGTGCTTGTTTCCATACAAGCGGCTAGGTGACATGGCTGGGACCCCTGCTAGGAAGTGGATGAGCTGGGACACAGTGCAAAGGCCCAGACTCCAGAGCTGCTGTTCCTCGCTCATCCCTGCTCACCCTCTGCCTGGGAGACATGGCCTGGAGGTCACAAGACCTGAGTTCTTGTTCTAGTTTCCCCCTGACCCCAAAGTTACCTTGCAAGTCACAGGAACCTTCTTTCCCTATCTATAAAATGGGGATAATGCGGGCCCTCACAGGGACGTGAAGTGGGGACATGAGGCCCCTGAGCAGGGAGCATGCCTCGTTCACTTCTGTGTCCCAACAGGGTCTAGGGTGTCTTTCATGAACTATAATCGAATACAAGAATAGCTGTGAAGACCAAGAGAACCATCCAAGCATCATCAGGGAGCCAGCAGTTCTGGGTTCGTGTCCTATCAAAGCCACTGACTACGTGTGAGGCCTCGTCCGTATGGATTACATGGAGCTGACATGCACCTCACAGAGTCGGGCTGAGGATGTCATGAGCTCCTGTGTCCGTTCCAAAGCCTCACACACACCAGCGGTGGCCTCCCTTCCTGCTCCGGCCCCGCCTGAGCTGGATGACTTCAGAGAACATATGGGGGTGCGTTTCCTACCTCATTATCAGACTCGCTACCTGATAACTACTTCTCACAGAGAAAGTCCATTCAAATTAAGTTTGTTCGGAGAAAATCGTATTTTGAGAATGTCACATCTGCCCTCTGCTGATGTGAGTGTTCTGTTTTTGTGGGTGTTTCTTATTTTTACTAATGGCAGTGACCTGATTGCCCAGCCCTGGATTAAGAGGCTAATCGACGGTATGGGGAGGGGGCTGAGGGCTACACTCCGTTTAATGCTCTTCTCCATAAACACACACACACCACACGCATACACACGTCCCCTCCCCCCAACGCTTTGCGTGCATCCCCACATATACAACCCTTAAGCCAAACCCTGTCCCAGGAAAACTGTTTCTCTCTCCTGTTTATTTTCCATTTCCCCATCTATTTGTCATTGTTCTAATGTGGGAGTTGGGCAGAGGGCCAGGGAGAGGCTGTTTCTGGGTGGAGATTCCTCAGGAAGAATGCTTATGCCTCTGGCTCCGAGTCTTAAAAAGGGTGGGTCAGGAGGGTGTGTATCTGTGTACAGGTACTTGGGTGTCCAGGATGGGTTCTTTTAAAAGGGGGAAGGTAAGACGGACCAGCCAGCATGGTGAGAGAAAGGGGACAAGGGACAGGTGGTCCACTCCTTCCAGCAGGAAGCAGTGACGGAGGAAGTGAAGTGGGAACAACATGGACCAAGGAAGTGGTTTCTATGGGTGTGGCTTCAGGTTCTGGGGGGCAGCGGAGGGGCCAGGGAAGGTAGGGAAGCTGTGGATAGGATCAAGAAATGAGCATGGAGGGGAGGTACCTAGAGTGCCTGTCCCCGTTGTATCCCTCCAAAGACAAATTTGAGAGACCTGGCTGCTTAAAGGTCAGAGTGCAAGGAGGAAAAGAGAATGGGAGATTCTGGAGGGTCCTAGAGGGAGCAACAGGGTGGGCAGATCCAAGGGAGGCCAGTGGATCAGGGCAGACAGGAAGTAGGTGCTGGTTCTAAGTGATGCAGAGAAGCCCCATTGGAGGAAAACAGGGAGGTGAGTTTCCTGGGCATGCTGACCCCACAAGTTAGGAGTGCCTGAGCCCCCTTTCACGGGTGAGAACCCCAACACTGTGCCAGCCCCAGCCTCTGCCAGCCCCTTCCTCTCCCTCCCCCCTGGGCGCTCACCAGGCTCTAACTGGAGACAAGTGCCGTTGGAGTGGCACACAGAGGCCACGCTGTAAGTGGTTTCCATGTCCAGCAGGATCTGGTTGTACTGCAGGGGGAAGCAGAGAGGCAGTGAGCTGTACCCCTTTGCGGCCTGCTCCCCGCAGGCCCCATCACAGTGGGGATGGGCTGTGGAGCCTGGGGAGCATGTTCCCAAAGGTGTTGCCTTCCCAGTAATCCTGTAGGTGTATTCTGACGTGCAGATGTCACGGCTTGACAAACTGAGGAAGAGGCAGCGGCATGAAGGCCATGCCCTGTACTGGGCTTGCTCCCTTGAGTTAGGACCTGGTCCTGACCTGGGATCCTCCACTCCCTGCTCCCCCAAAGCCACACACCTCCTCCAGCTCCTCGACAGGCAGTGCTGCCCGCTCTAGGTCCTGAATCTTGTGTATCATCCGCTTCATGGTGGTGTTCTGGAAGTAGGTGATATCAAACCGCCGGGCTCGGGTGCCATACTTTAAGGTGTGGTTTGCCATCTGTATGTTCTTCTGCAGCTGAAGGCACAGAGGGAACCGTGTGGTGAGACCCAGATGCTTTGGAGAGGCCTCTGAGGAAGAGGTGCCATGAAGGGGGGGGTGGAGTGAAGGGTGAGGGGTGGTGAGGAGGACAAGTTGTTGTCTTTGCCTATAGAGACCCTCTTCAACCTGGACTTCCTGTAATGCCCGGGGACGCAGCCCATGCCTGTCAACAGACACCCACAGACATATCCTGGCAGGGGTAGAGAAGAGGAACCCCACCCTGCAACTTAAAGGCTGTTAAGATGAAGGCAGCTTGGCCTGTCAGAGCCTCGGGGCCCCATCTGTAAAGTGGAAATAAGAGCATTGGTTTTGCAAGGCTGTTGAGGAATGAATGAAGCCACAGACACGAAGGGCCAAGCAACAGGGGCCAGCATACAGTGGTCTTCACGAAATAGTAGTTTTCCGAGGCTCACCTTGGTAATAATCTGCGCTCACCACACAGGTGGGGAGTGGGCTTGGAGGGAAGGGTAGCCCTTGCTATGATAGCAAACAGGGGCTTTCAGTCCTTTAAAAACTGACTTTAGCATCACTTGTGTACAGATTATTCCTTTACTAACAACAGATTGATTGTTAATTAAAAACAACTTCTTTAGGCATTGAGTGTATATGCCCACCCAAATCTGAAATTCCATTTGGGTTTTTCACAAATTCTGACAGCTTGCCCCCAGGGAGGTAACATGGGGGAGGTAGGGAGGGACAGCCTGCCTTGGGCTTTGGAGGATTAGTCCCTGGATGGAGGAGTGTGTGTGTGTGTGTGTGTGTGTGTGTGGTGGTGGTGGGCGGGGGAGGAATGCAGGAGTGTGGGCGTGGGGAGGCCCTACCAGGATCTTGCTGGCCTCTGTGGTGATGTTGGTGTTGTAGTTCCAGTTGGCTTCAGCATATTCGTTCCACACCACTTGGGATTTCTGGTCATATTCTTCCACAAACTTGCTGGCCTCAGCCTCATCAGTCACCAGAACTATGGGACAGAGTGGAGGGAAACAGGCCTACCCTTGCACCTCTCCTGCAGTTGGGCGGATTTCCTCCCCGTCTCACCGCCCCGCCCCTCGCGGCCCCGCCCCCCTCGCGGCCCCGCCCCATCCCTCCACTGGTCCCACTTGGACTCTGGGTTGTCTGGCTGCTTGTTGCCTTGTGAGTTGTTGTCCGGCTTCTGGTTGTTGCGTGGCTGGTTGTTCCCTGGTTGCTTGTCACCTGGCTAGTGACCTCTTGGCTGAGGACCAGCAGGGGATGCCCAATGCAGAGCAGAGGGAGGAGGAGGAGTCTGGGCAGTCCTGGAGCAGCCCAGTCTTGGCCCATGGCTGTAGGATTGCAGAGCCCTGCAGCCACCACCCTCCAGCCAATAAGAACTGAGCCTGTAGTGTGACCTCATAGAGCAATGTCACTGGTCAGCCTACCCAGGGGGGCCTCAGATCTGAGCACATCCTCTCTAGGATGCTGGGGAAAAGACAGGTCAATCCCCACCCCAGGACCGCTTCTGATGCTAAGGGGCTGCCTGGCCCTCCAGAGCTGGGCGCCAGAGCCCAGCTGGGAGGAGCTGATAGAGAACCAAATGGGGGGGGGAGGGGGAAAAGTTGGGGGGTAAGCTGGGTCCGGACCCCAGAATTGAGAACTTGTCTTAGGGCCTGCCCCACCCTCATGCAGAGTCTTACCAATGTCCTCCGGGTAATTGTCGGGCATCGGTGGCTGCCACTGATATTCCGGCCAGCCCAGGACCTCGCCGTTCCGCTGGTTCTGCTCCTCTAGCCACTGACGGACTGGTTGGAAGTAGTTGAGCAGTGGCTCAGCGTCCAGGGTATCTGAGCCAATCATATCCTTGAGTACCTCCTGCCAGGGCCGTGAAGAGCCTGCCTGCAGCACCGTTCTGTCAGGCAAAATGGAAGCACAGAGGACTCAGGCTGGTGTCCACTACTGGCCTCTGGCCTACCTCCCCACCGCCGGCTACTTCTGCCCCCCACTGATGGCAAGACCAGTGGCATAAAGACTCCAGAACCTAGGATCTCAGTGAAAGACATTTGACTTGCCCATGCCAGCCTGCCCCTGGGGCCTCAGATCTGGGCCCACTCAATAAATATTTGATGAGAGAAAGAAAGGAGGGGGCAGGAAAGAAAGGCACCTTCCATCAGACTGGCCCTGTGGTGTCCCCACTGGAATAGCCAGTTATCTTCCAGACACACCCTCACCAACCTCTCCCCTCACCCTTCCCCTTGCCCTCCCTTGCCTCCCACACACCGGAGCTTGTCCCCCGCCTTGGTGGACTGGTAGATGTCACACTGGTGTAGTGGGCCCTGGTGGCCTGCCTCCTTGCACAGGGCTTGATGGAACTGGAACTGCAGGACAAAACTCACAAAGTACCTGCAGGCACAGGTTGGGTGTTAGAGGGGGAGGTGGGGTCCCTTGCCCAGGCACCATCCAGCCTCTCACAGGGCAGCGGCCAGACCAGGACGTGCCTGGGGAGAAGGGAGAACCAAGCTTGGCTCAGGAGAGAGGCCCACTCAAATTGCAAGGGGGATGTGGGGACAAACCCTGGGGCAAGTTCACAGAGTAGAGGGAGGGGGACTAAAGGTGTGACAGAGCTGGGAGAGGGAAGGAGGGGCAATAGTACCTGATGTACGGTGTCACATGTGGGACATGAAACTTAGCTCCTGCATCAAAGTGGGTTTCATTTCGGGCAATTGGAGAACAGACGCCCTGATACTTGGTTCTACAAGAGGATGGTCAAAATGTCTTAGGACCTAAAGGTTGCATACAGGCTGATTTAGCCTTTGCAGAAAAGGCTGCTAAGCAGGCATTTACACCCAGCCATCCCTTCCCCATCCTGGTGAATTGGGGAAGAATTCCTGAAGGCGGGGGTTTTAGGCAGAAAAGAAGATTATAGTGGGTAAAATGATGGAGACATCATTAGAGTGGAGGGGACTTGGGGCTGATGGAGGCAGGAGGCTCCCATTGGCCCAGGAGGGTGGGGCAGGCCATTGGGGTTAGGCCCTTCCTGATCCTTGTTTACTCACCGAAGATACCACCAGTCAAAGTTGTAGCGGGAAGGGCGGGTGCGTCCACTAAAGACCCCCCAACGCCACTGGTCCACCAAGTAGCCAAAGGGCAGGAAGGCAATTTTTTCCAGTGCCATCTTTAACAAGTAATTGATGTCGCTTTCTGTTGGGAGATGAGATGAGAAGAGAGAGGTCAGAAGACAAGGGAGTCCAGCTAGGATGGGGTGTGCCTGGGGGGGAGCCAGCAAGAGGGGAGGCTGGGTGCGCACACAGAAGGGAAGGCCAGCCTCCAAGCCCATGGGGCCCTGCTTGGGAGAGGATCCTTGGCAGTGTTGATTTGGGACTTAGGGTGGGCTATCAGGCTCCGGGTTGATCCCCAAACCTGCCTGGCCTGGGACAGTGAGGCAGAAACAAGAAGGGTGGGTAGGAGCAGAGGCAAGTGGGGTCCCGCTATGGGATAGAGTGGGGTCTGGATAGGGCTGGGCTGGGTCCTCTAAGCCCTCTTATACCTGTGTCATTGACAACATGGTCCAGCAGGCCAATTTTGTACAGATGTGAAGGAGTAGACACAGAGAGCGCCAGCACATCCCCGATGGCCTCATGGAAGCCAGGGTTGGCACCTTGGCGCAGGGAGACAGGCTGCTCCTTGTATTGTAGGTAGTACTGCACGTGGCCCATCTCATGGTGCACTGTGGACAGCTGGTCCATAGCGACCCGTGTGCACTGCTTGATCCTAGGGCAGGGAGAGGGCAAGGGTGAGGGTAAAGGGCAGGCAGTCAGGCAGGGATCATAGCATGGGGAGGGCACTGCCGTGGGGCTCGAGGAGCTGGTGCAAACATACAGATCCTTTGCCCTGCCCCAGTCCACTCTCAGGCCTTTTCCCTCCATTCCAACGTACAGAGTTGACTACCTGCCAAGGGAAGGTGGCCTAATGGCAGCCCTGAAATAGACCAGGCCCCTAGCCACTGTTGGGGCTGGGGTAGAGGTGGGCCTGGGAACTGGCTTCTCTGTGCCCATGCTGCCTGATGTTCCCGGAGCCCCAGAACCTCCATGTCCCGTGTCTAGACCTGAAGTCTTTCCTGTTGTAGAAGTCCCAGGCAGAGGCGTGGCACACCACCTCACGCCCGTCGTTTGGTTTCTCCAGCATGGATTCTGCCCAAAACTCAGGAGGCATGGGCAAGAGCCCCAGGGATGTGAAGAATTCCTCTGCCACCCGGAACATGTGCGTAGCGTTCCAGCCCTGGTGGTGAGGTGTAGGTATAGGTCAGGGGAAGCCTGCCAGGAGCTCACTGTGGCTGCCCTGGGGCAGGTCTGGGGTCCCCCACCCAGGTCAGCTCCCTGCCCATGAAGGACATCTCTGCCCTGTGGCCTCCCTTCCCAGAGCACGGCCCCTAATAACCACAGTGGATAAGCAAAGTGGAGTCCTCACACCCCACCAGTGGGTGCGTGGGGGCCGGGGCTGGACCTCACCCAGGACACAGACCCCAGCTCACCACTTGTACACATACTCCAGGCTGCTGCTCTGTAGAAAGGGAGGGACCAAGGTCCCTGCTCGACCCATCTCCTTCATGTGACCCCTTCCCACCCTTCTCCCCATGTCTCTCTCTTGTTGCCCCGAGCCCGGCTTACCCTGAGCTTACCTTCTGAACCATTGTGCTGGTAACATCGAGATTGGGCTTGTCAGGGAAAGGCACCACCATGTCATAGATGTTTTCCCAGCTCTGGGCCCACATGTCCCCTAGATGGAGGAGGAGAGCCGAACAGCTTGGCTCCCTGCCCAGCCAGTCCCTGAGTCCCAATGCCTCTCACTAAGCAGCACCCTGGGCCCTGGCACCTGGACCTTGGGGCACTTCTGGGCAGCAGCCTATTCGGCGGCTGAGGCCAGGAATTCCCACATCAGTCCCACCCACAGTCCTGAGTACCCCGTGTACCCTGGGGCTGGCAGAGAAAGAGCCCAGACAAGGTTGCTGGGGCCCTTTCTGATGGTGCTGGGGTCCCTGCCTTCCAAACCGGAAGCAGGGCCCCAGGACTGCCTTGCTGGGACACACACTAGGATTATTATTATTCCTCCTCTACTGGACCTGGAGTCAAAGCCTTCAGTGTGGCTCTTAGCTCTGCCTTTACCTAGCTCTCTGCCAAGTCACTTATGCACCCTAAGCCCCAAGGTCCCAACCTGGAAAGTAGGAACGATAATGACGATGAGAAAGACCACTTGCTTTATGGTGATATTGCACAAGCTACATGGGTTCATGAATGTGGGAGTGAACAGGGCAGTGCTCTGAAATGTGAGACATGATGAGGACAATCCCTGGGACCTGTGGAGGCAGGGCCAAGTCCTTACCCAGCAGGTGAGCAGGGATGGGTCCCCGGAGGTTGATGTATCTGTCCCCATAGCGGCGGTGCAGTGCGCGGCGGACGTAGGCATGGAGGTTCAAGTAGAGGGGCTCTAACTGATGGTAGATTTTCTCCAGGTCCTCCACAAAGGTGGACGACTCGTACCAGGAGCGCCAGTATTCTCCTGTGTCTGAGAAGCCTAGCAGGGGGTGGGCGTTGGGGTGCAGCTCAGGCCTGAGGCTCTGGCACCTCCACCTCCCAGTTACCATTTTGCCACTCTGCTGGCTCAGGGTCTGTGAACCTGCCAGCTAATGGAAAGGATGGCTTGGGGGTTGCTGGTCTCCAGGTTTCTAACTAGGGATAGAGCTCCAGCTAAATAGATCCTGGAGAGCATGAGAGGCAAAGGTGAGTGCAGGCAGGAGGGGTGGTGTAAAGAAAAGATGGCAGCCAGGTAGAAGGCAGATGGGGCTCAAGCCTGGTTTCGCCATCTACAATCTGTGTGACCTTGGGACGGTGTATGGAGTCATCCTAACAGCTGCTCTGTCTGCCTCAGGGGTTGGGGCTCAGTGGAGACAATGGATGGGAGAGCACTTTGCAAGCTGGGGAGGGCGGCACCCACACAAGGGCCGGGGCGGGGCATGCTCACCGTCCTGCTCGTGGGCCTCATTGCTGAGGACAGTGAAATTCTCATACAGGGGTTTCAGGGGAATGCCCACGGCATTGTGCCAGCCCTCCCAGGCATACAGCAGCAGGGCGTAGTTTCGCGAGTCAGACAGGATATGCATGAGCTCTGAGACACAAGTGAGACTCAGCATCAGCCTTCACCAGAGCTCCCATGCTGGTCCTCACCATCTTTACCTGCTTCCTCAACATCACGATGCCCCCAAAGCCAAGGGCAATCTGTAAGCTGGGCGGCACGGGGCTGAGGGCTATCTGAAACAAACACCCAGGCAGGGCCCTTATCTCTATGGAAATGATCTAAGCTGGTTGACACAAAGAGGACGTCCAGAGGCTGAAGTCCAGACCCTTAATGGCTCATTGGATGGAGTGGCTGACCTCAAGGCTGCCACTAGTAAATGGGGGGTGGGGGCCTGGGGGAGAGGAGGAGGGTATAAGTGGAAGCCATGAGGGGGTCTAAGACCTGTGGAAGGCTCCTGGGGAGACTGAAAGGACCCATGAGAGGGGAAAAAAGCAATGCAGCCAGGAGGAAGGCTATGGGAGAGGCCAAAGCACACATGGGGGTAGGGGCTGGGGATTCCAGAAGTCAGTTTGTCAGGAAAAGTCAGGGTGTGGCGGCACCTGATAGTCCAGCCCCAGTTGGTGGTCAATGTCATTAGGTTTACCCACTCTGTCCAGCAGCCGTCCCCCTGGGTGCAGGGTGATGGGGGAAGAGCTAGGAAGCCCCAGTAGTGACAGGGCCGTACCTGGGTCCAGGGACCAGCAGGTGTCATTCCTGTTGGGGTAGCAGACCTTGGCGGTGGAGTAGATTCTGTTCATGCTGCTTAGCAGAGAGTTGTACTGGGGAGTTGGAGTTGAGAACATGTTAGTGACAAACATCCCCACGATGCCTGGGCACCCCCTCCTCTTTTTGCTAGAAGGAAAAAGAGGCCCAGAGAGGGGATGTGGCGAGGGGCACTTCTGGTCACTAGTACAGTGATTCCTCATCCAACAGAGGCAGCCTGTGGAGGTGGAAACAAGTGTCCTGAGAGGTAGGGGTTGGGTTTCAGGTCTGAGCTTGGCCCCCACCTCGCAGTGAGAGCAAATCCCTCTCTCTCTCTCTCTCTCTCTGGCCTTGATGACTTCTCAGTCTTTTTCAGTCTTTCTAAGGAAGCCCATAAGCCAAACCAGTCTATGGAGAAATTCTGAAAACCCCTGTTTTGTCTTTTACTGTTTACTTGAATTTTGCTTTCCACTCCACAATACCTGCTTTAATATAAAGTAACTTCCATCCCATCTCCAAATAAAATCGTTGCTTCAGGAAAGCATTCTATGCTTCCACCGGCTCCCCCTACAGATCCCAGGGTCCTTCCCTGCCGGGCTCCCTCCCTCCGCCACAGTTGGGCACTGGGCGTCACCTTGGCCTCTTCGGCTTCTATCCCTCAGGTCCACCTGGCCTACCTGCTGCCGCTTCACCAGGGGCAGGTTGGCAGGCCCCAGGATGCGTACACCACTGAGGACCCTTCGCAGTACTGGGTCGGTGAAGTTCTGCCAGATTGGGTCATACAGCTCCTTGGCCTTCTGGCCCCAGACCTCTGCAAACTCCTGGTTGAGCAGGGCTGCTTCCTCCTGTGGGTACCAGGAGGGCAAGAGAGTGCATATGGGGGAGGCCATGGTGCTGGGGGACGGGGGAAGACCAAGGGCTCCCGGGCACTTGGGCTCCTGGGAACACTATTTCTTTCTTCTGGGCCCTCGGGGTCAGGAACTGGGAGACTCTGCCTCAGGGGAGCAGTGGAGCAGAAATTGGGGCCCTAAAAGAGGCAGAGGGACGACAGGGACAATAGACAGTGATGAGCAGTGACGGGAACTGTGAGAGAGGGGTAGGTTGAGGCCAGAGAGGACGAGGGCCTAGAGCTGAGAGGGCGCCCTCAGCGAAGACGGCCGCTGACTCAGCCTGAAGTCATTCCTGGGCGCTGCCACCTGGGGGGGACTCGATCTAAGTGGAGCCAGCCTCATCCATTCGGTTCCTGTGTTGGGCACGGACCAAGTGCCCAGCACCATGCTAGGCCCGTTACCGCCTGTCTTACAGGGCGGGGTGGGAGAGGGTGGAGTTGGGGGGAGGCCCGCAGGCCGCACCAGGTCCCCGCGGCCCGGGGCTGGGGGCGCGCGCCCGGCAGTGACTCCCCGCCCCGCAGCCGGCCGCAGGCTTGTGATTGGGCGCCTGGGCCCCGCCCCCGCCCCCGCCCCAGGCCCGCGCGCCCACCTGGCGCCGCGCATTCTCCTCGGTGATGTTGGTGTCGTGCGCCCAGCTGGCGACTGTGCTCTGGTACAGCACCTGCTCGGCTTTTGGGTTGAAGCTCTTCACGAAGAGCTGCGCCCCAGCCTCGTCGGCGGAAAACTCTTCTGGCTGCAGCGTGGGGTCAAGAGCCAGGGCGCTGGGTGGCGACGGTGGCAACAGCAGCAGCAGCAGCAGCAGCGGCAGCGGCAGCGGCAGTGACAGGAGCCGTGGCCGCGGCCCCAGCTCAGGGCGGCCCGACACGGCCCCCATTGCGCGGTACGCGGTGCTGTCCCGTCTCCTGCGCGGCGCCCGCCCTGCGGATTATAAAACCCGGCCGCCACCGCCTTCCGACACACCCCCACCTCCCCTCCCCGCCGCGCTTCCTCTTCAGCTCCAAAGTCCCCCCGGCTGCTGCGCCGGGCCTAATGGAGCGGGGCGGGGACCCACGCTGCTTGGCCCGCCCGGGCAGGGGCGCCGGCCCGGGGAGGAGCCGAGGCGGCCCCCTGCGAGATGCAGCCTGGGGGTGGCGGATGGCGCTTAGGTCAGGTTCTGGCAGAGGAAGTTAGCAAGGGGGAGCCCGCCATACAGCCCGCCGCCGCACACACACCTATGAAGCTGAGGGACCCAGCAGTGTGCTGGAACACCCAAGCCTGTCCATCGTGCCCTCTCCTTGCCATCACACAGACTCGGCGCAGGGACCTGGGAGCCCAGCGGTCTCTGACGCTTAATCTTCTGGCCTAACGGCCCCAGGCCTCTGGGGCTCCTGAGTGACAAGGTGGGGGAGCTATTCGCAGCGCCGCTAGAGCAGCAGGGATAGGGTTAATGATCAGTAACCGCATCTGGCTTCTGTAGGCCTGGGGCCAGGGGGTGGCCTTTGCGCGTGTGGGGAGAGTTCAGGTTTTGGCAGGCGCCTGGGGGAGGTGCTGCAAAGATGCTCAGAGATCCCGGCTCACCTGGGGACTGGGTGGAGGGCTACCAGGAAAGGGGGAAAGAATGGAGGGGCTGTTCTGGGAGGGGGGGACATAGAGGCACACCTGCCCTCTCCCACTGGGGACACAGCTGTCAGTCACTCATGCAGAAGCAAGCACACAGGCTGGCAGCCTTTGAGAACTACAAAGACGAGCCTAGCGATGAGAAGAGCCCCTTCATTTGACAGATGAAAAAATTAAGACTCCGGTTGAGTGGGTTGCTCCAAGTCACCTCAGGTCTCCACAATCCCCCTTAGTCTTTCCCTGTCTCGTCCACGTGTCCCTCTAAGTGACAAGAGGGGGCGGGGGGGGGGAGAAGACTGGCATCCTTTTGAGGTGGTTGTAGAGGCAGAGGGTCCTCCCCTAACTCCTCAGCACCATGGTGTCTATACCCAGAGGTAGGGGGACCCTACACCCTAGCAGACACTCCAAGAGTGTGTGACCAGACCATGAAAAAAGTGGAGGCTGGGCAGAGGGAGCAGGGAAGGAGCCAGTGACAGCTGCTAGGGAGTCCCCAACCCATTTGGCTGCTTGGGCTAGTGGGAGCCACCTGGACTCCTGGGTATCTGCATGTGGTATGGAGCCTGGGGCAGTGAGGGACACACAGGCTCATGTGTCACACTTGGCATATGGAGTGTGTGAGGGAGGCTGTGTGACCTAAGTACCTCCAAGGTCATGCTGATTTGTCAGATGACATGGTGTCAGGGAGAGGTGGGTGGAGGAGGGCAGAAGAAGAAGGTGGCTGCAGCAGCCCGAGGAGGTGCGGGAGGCGCGGGAGGCAGGGCGCTGTCAGCAGAGGGGAGAAAGCAGGGAGGTGAGGGGACAGCTGAGGCCCTGTGGCTTTCCCTCACACCGAGGGACACCAGTGCACTTCAGGGCTGGCTAAGCAGACACCCATGATCAGAGCAGCCCGAGCAAGGCTGAGGGGCCAGGCTGAGGGTGAGGCAACAGGCCTGGGCTCTCGTCCTCAGAGTTACTCGGCTCTCTGGTGGTCCTAACAGCTTGGTTTTCCAGGCTTGGAGGGCAATGGGCTATATGCGCCCGTGAGTTGCTGTCTTCTGGGGCACAGCAGCCTCTCCGCTGGTAGAGGCTTGGGGGGATTTTGAGAGTGGCACCCTGTTAGGCCCTGAAAGAGTGGTCCTGGGGGGCGGGCGGGGAGGAAGGATAGGTAGAGAGGAAGAAGAGCCGGAAGCTTAGCTTATAACCAGGGAGCCCTTCTCTATTATCAGAAAAGAAACTGCAGAAAGCAGGATGGCGGCAGGTTTATCCAGGGTCTCGCCTCTGAAGAGCTCCTGAGCACTGAGTCTGGGAGGATGGTAGAGCAGGCACTCTGTTCTGCCAGTTCATTTTTAGCTCTGACTGTGTGGTGCTGTGACAAATGGCTGTCGAACATCTGGGTTAGGGCCTGAATTCGGCATGGAACAGCCACTGCCTCTCTGAAAAATCACAGAAGCAAAGGCATGTTGGGGTTCGAAGATACTCTACACCCCTGGTTTACATGGAGCAAACTGACACCAGGGCTGGTTGGAGGTGTCCCTCTGGACCTCCCTCATGGTCACATTTACTATAATGGCTTGTTGAATTGCACAGCTACCCCGCTAAACTGGGGGTTCCAGGAGGGCGGAGGTTGTGTCTGCCTTATTCTCTGGTTTTCCCAGAGCTTAGCACAGTGCCTGGCACAAAGTAGGCCCTAATTCAAGGGAGGGGGAGTGGAAGGAAGGGATGGCCAACATTCACACTCACTCTCCCAGCGGCAAGCTCACAGCCTCCTGTAAGAATCACACAAAGAGCCAAACCTCACTAATTTGGAATTTGCAATAATAGAGACACTGCAACCTTGATCCCAGTGAGTAAAAGTTAAAAATAACCTCTGTATTTTTGGGTCTTATTCATGTGGAAGAGGGATAATAATAAGAATACACCTTACATCTGGATAGCACTTTAGACTTTTCTAAATTCTTTTGTGTGAATTATCTAATTTGATATTTACAATAACCTTGAGAGGTAGGAGAGAGATAGGTCCTTTGTTGGGTCAGCTACCTCCCAGCTGCCAACACAACAATGGAGGGGGTTCTGAATCCTGCAGGAGGACATAATTATGATGAAACCGTGCAACGGGCCGTGGGGGCCTAACCATCCAAGGAAAGGCAGTCTGCTGAGGGGCTTGCTCCATCTCTTTAAGGCTCTTCCAGGGAAGGACGGGTCACCAGGTACCACAGTTTGAGAAAAATATCCCTTAGAACATATGCCCAACAATGAAATAGAATTGAGAGTCCAGAAATAAACCTTCCATTTATGTTCAGTCGATTTTGGACAAGGGTGCCAGGACAATTAAATGGGGTAGGGGGAAGAGAAGAAAGTCTTTTTAACAAACGGTGATGGGACAACTGGATTTCCACAAACAAAAGAATGAAGTTGGATCCCTACCTTATACTATTTACAAAAATTAACCCAAAATGGATCATAGACTTAAGAGTTAAAACCATAAAAATCTTAGAAGAAACATAGGTACAAATCTTTGTGACCTTGGATTAGGCAATGGTTTCTTAGGTATGATACCAAAAGCACAAGTTACAAAAGAAAAATTGGTTTTCATCAAAATAAAAAACTTTTGTGCTTCAAAGGACACCATCAAGAAAATGAAAAGACAACCCATGGAATGGGAGGAAATATGTGTAAAGCATGTGTGTGATAAGGGACCTGTGTCCAGAATATATGAAGAACTCTTACAACTCAACAATTAAAAGACAAATAACCCAATTAAAAAATGGGCAGAAGATTTAAATAGATGTTCCCCAAAGAGATACACAAATGACCAATAAGCCCATGAAAAGATGTTCAACTTCATTAGTCATCAGGGAAATGCAAACCAAACCACAACAAGATACTACTTCATACCCACCAAGATGTCTAAAATAAAAAAGACAGACAATAGCAAATGTTGTCAAGGATGTGGAGAAACTGGAACCCTTATACATTGCTGGTGGAAATGAAAAATGATGCAGCCTCTTTGGAAAACAGATTGGCAGTTCCTCAAAATGTTAAACATAGAGTTACCGTATGACCCTGCAATTCCATTCCTAGAATTGGAAAATGTCCACACAAAACCTTTTATACGAATTTTCAAATCAGGATAATTTTATTCATAATAGCCAAAAATTGGAAATAACCCAAATGTCCATCAACTTACAAGTGGATAAACCAAATGGAATATTATTCAGTCATAAAAAGAAGTGAAGTGTTGGTTACGTGCTACAACATGGATGAACCTCGAAAACATTACGTTAAGTGAAAGAAGCCGGTCACAAAAGGCCACATATTGTATAAATCTATTCATATGAAATGCCCAGAATAGGCACATCCATTAGAGACAGAAAGCAGATTAGTGGTGCCAGGTGCTGGAGGGAAGGGGCATGGGAGTGACTGCCAGTGGTATGGAGTTTCTTTATGGGATGATGAAAATGTTCTAATGAAATGATTAGTGATGGCAGCACAACTCTGTGAATATTCTAGAAACCACTGAATTGTACACTTTAAAAGGAGGAATTTCATAGTGTATGAATGATATTTCAATATAACTGTTATTAAAAAATATGCCCAAACGTTTACTACCATCATTCTTCAAGGAATCTCCTGATTATTGGTGGGTTTTCAGAGAAGCCATGGTTCTTTCACTGAATACCCTCTTTGCTTAGGCCAAACCTACCCACCTCTCAAAAGACCAGCACAAGTCCTCCCTCTAAAATGAATACTTCTAGTTTCCTCAACCCAAGCTAACTTCTCCTTTCTATATTCAGCATTAACTCACATGGGCACCAAAAGCAGGGTGCAGAGGAAATAGTGCTGGATTAGGAGCCTGAAAAATCTGGGCCACACTTACAAGCCTTATGACCTGAGCAAAATAATCTCTTTGAGCCTCAGTTTCCTCATGTGTAACATGGCTGCAAACATTTCTACCCATCCTCTAAGGGTTGTGGGAAAATGAAGACAGATCCTTTGTCAGTTGTCACACAAAAGCAAGATATTACTAATATTACCAAAATCATTGGCTAACATTCCTAGACGCAACGCCCTGGGCTAAGAGAGAAATACAAGACTATTGCCTTTAACTTAGAACTTGGTGAAGAGAAAATTAGTTCTCTGAGGCTAAGTGCTTAAGGCTGGTATAAATCCTAGATCTAAGGAGTTGGGAGGAAGATGGCTCATGCCAGCGGGAGGGGACAGGCCAGACAGCTTGACCAGGAGGAGGAAGGCAGGGTTTAACCTCAGAGAATCAGAGGGGGTTAGGCCTCCCAGCCAGAAAGCTGGAGCCAAGTGTGGAGCTGGGTGGGGCGAGAGGAGCCTCACAGAGCTGAAACCTTTCAGGGTCATCTCTG